GGGGGGGAGGGTGGGGAGAGGGGGGGGATGCGGAACAGGGGGGACATTGGGACATGGGGGACGTCTGGACACATGGGGCCATGGGGGACATGGTGGGGCGTGGGGGCATGCGGACAGGGACACGCAGGGGACATGCAGAGGGACTGGTACACGTGAGGACACAGGGACGGGCTTGCAGGGGGGGACACAGAGAGGGACACCCACAGGACGTGTGCATGGGGAGAGGGACACGCGGGGGACACACAGAGGGGCGCGCATGGGGACGGGTCTGCATGATGAAATAGGGACATGGATAGGGACACGTGCATGGGGACACCCAGAGAGGGACAGGCAGAGGGACAGACGGGGACATGCTTGCATGGGGACAGGGACACAAATGTGACACGCATGGGGACATACATCACGGGGACCCACATGCGCGGGGAAAGAGGGACATGGAGAGGGACAGGCAAGGGACGTGTGGGCATGGGGACAGGGATGGGCATGGGGACAGGGACACACAGGGGACACGTACATGGGGACAAGGACACCCCTGGGGAAAGGGACAGGCAGCCAACATGGGCATGGGGACAGGGGCACCCATGGGGACGGGGACACCCATGGGGACGGGGACACCCATGGGACATGTGCAGGGGACAGGGACACGTACATGGGGACAGGGATGCCCATGGGACATGTGCAGGGGACAGGGACACGTACATGGGGACAGGGATGCCCATGGGACATGTGCAGGGGACAGGGACACGTACATGGGGACAGGGATGCCCATGGGACATGTGCAGGGGACAGGGACACATACATGGGGGCAAGGACACCCATGGGACGTGCAGGGGACAGGGACACGTACATGGGGACAGGGACACCCACGGGGCCAGGGCCACCCACGGGATGTGGGCATGGGGCCAGGGCCACCCACGGGGCCAGGGACACCCGTAGGACGTCTGCAGGGGCCAGGGACACGCAGGGGACACGTGTGTATGGGGACAGGGAGGGGTGGAAGGATGAAGGGTGGATGGACGGATGGATGGACAGAGGGAGTGGGAAGATGGACGGACGGACGGACGGACGGACGGGGGGAGGGATGGACGGACGGACAGCTAGGTGAATGGATGGATGAAGGACGGACAGATGGATGGATGAAGGACAGAGGGATTGAAGGATGGACAGACGGATGGATGGATGGATGATGGACAGATGGGTGGATGAAGGATGGATGGACAGACAGATGGACAGATGAAGGAGGGACGAGCACCCCTCACCCCCCTGTTCCCCTAGGCCTGGGCAGATGAAGGCTCCCCCCGTTCTCCCGGGGCCCCTGAGGTGGGTCGGGGACACTGGGGGGGCGGGGGGGGGGCACCCATGGGTGCCTGGGTAAGTGGGACCCCCTGGGGCCATGGAGGGGGGAGGCACCCATGGGACCCCTGGATTACTTGGGGACACTGGGGGGACACAGGGGGCAATCATGGGACCCCCAGGTGAGGGGGGGACTCTCATGTGAGTGGGGACACCATGGGGACATGGGGGGCACCCATGGGTGTACCCTGTCCCCTCTGCACCCAGAGAGCGGCCCTCTGCCCAGGAAGGACCATCAGGGGGGTAAGCTGGGGGGCAGAGAGTGCTTGGGGGGGGACTGGAGGAGGAGGAGGGGGGGGGCCAGACCCATAGTTTGGGGGCCCAGACCCATTTTGGGGGTTTCTAGGCCCATATTGGGGGGTTCTGGGGTGACACTGGGGTCCCAGACCCACACTGGGACGTCCCAGGCCCATAACTGGGAGGTCCTGGGGTGACACTGGGGGTCTCAGGCCCATACTGGGAGGTCCCAGACCCATATTGGGAGGTTCTGAGGTGACACTGGGAGGTCCCAGTCCCACACCAGGAGGTCCCTGACCCATACTGGGAGGTCCCAGGGTGACACTGGGGGTCCCAGGCCCATAACGGGGGGGTTCCCATACCCCTTTTGGGAGGTCCCATGCCCATACTGGAAGGTCCCAGATCCATACTGGAAGGTCCCACAGTGTCATGGGGGCTCCTGGGCCACCATGGGGGTCCCAGACCCACGGTGTGGCGGTTCCCACTCCTCACCGTGGGTCCCTGATGGGTGCTCCCCCAGGTGGGCTGCTCTACCCCTTCGGGCCAGGGGTTGGGGACGAGGCCACCCCCCATGAAGATGACGGGATGAGCCCTGAGATCCTCCTCTGGGAGACCTTCTCCTTCTACGGACTACCCCACCGCTCCCTCTACGTGGGTCCCGGGCCCCATGGCATGGAGGGGCAGGGGGGGTGCTGTGGGTTAGGGTGCTCGGGGTGCTATGGGTTGTGGCCACCGTGAATTGGGGACACCATGAATTGGGTGACACTGTGGTTGGGACACCGTGGGTTGGAGACACCATGGGAGTAGACACCATGGTTGGGTGACACCATGGGTTGGGGATGTCATGGGTTGGGGACACCATGTGTTTGGGCCACCATGGGTTGGAGCCACTATGGTTGGGGGCCACCATGGGTTGGGGGCCACCATGGGTTGGGGGCCACCATGGCTGCAGGCCACCATAGTTGGTGCCACCATGGTTGGGGGCCACCAAGGTTAGACACGCCATGGTTGGGGCTCCATGGTTGGGTGACACCATGGTTGGTGCCAGCATGGTTGGGGGTCAAGATGGTTGGGGCCACCATGGATTGGAGACATCTTGGTTGGGAGCCACCATGGTTGGGGGTTAACATGGTTGGGGTTACCATGATTGGAGACACCATGACTGGGATCACCATGGTTGAAGACACATCACCGGGGAGCCACCATGGCTGGTGCCACCATGGTTGAGGGCCACCACAGGTGATGGCCACGCACCGTGAGTGGGTCACCATGGGGTGATGGTTGCCTCCTGCAGGTGAACAACGCTGCCCTCGCCCAGGACATCGATGTGCCACCGCACCAGGGACCTGCGCAAAGGGGGGGCAAACTGGGGCAAACTGGGGGAAACGGGTGTCAAACTGGGCTAAACTGGGACAGGAGAGTCCTGAACCGGTCTAAACTGGGAGAAAGCAGGACCAAACTGGGACAAACTGGGACACGCCAGTCCTGAACTGGGCTAAACTGGGACAAACTCGACCAAACCACCCTCCCCCGCCCCTTCGTGGCCCCGTACTGGGCCGACGTGGACACCAGACTGGGAGGAGACGTCTTCTACCGGCAGAGCCGGAAGCCGGAGCTGCTGGCCCGCCTGGCCCGTGAGCTGGCCCCCGCCGTGACCCCCCCTGACCCAGCCCCTCAGCCCACCTGGGCCTTCGTGGCCACCTGGCACCGTGTCTC